CCCGTGTGCGACTATAAGGTAAATTTCTCCTATTTGAATATGTCCACCTCATCCATCACTTCCGTTAATGCAAAAAGGCCAAGCCAAAGTTTACCCGAGGGTGAACACACACATAAACACACAGGTGGCCAAGCCACAGAGTGCAGGCAGCTGATGGTAAGATCACGAGAGCGTGCTATTAGGGAAAATCTTTGGATTGTTTGACTCTCTTTCATCCTCTCAATCTGTCTTTCCGCCTCACCATCATCTCAACACAGCTTTCAAATGTAAGGCCTCATTACCTCAGACAAAGCTTAGGCAGTGTTAGAACCGTTCCTCAAGAGCACACATTGCATTTTGCATGGATCTGTTAGGATTTAGGAAATTTAGTATGTATAATTCTATTTTATATTTGTTTGTGTACAATAAACAATGTTGTCCCTCCATTTACAGGCAGAGGATCTTCTTCATAGCATGTTTGCACCACCGTGCTTCCATAGCAGCAAGTGTCTTTATCTGTGTTTTCGGGGCCTTCAGATCAATACAGTTATATTTATAAAGTGCTGATTCACAATAGCAGTCGCCTCAAGATGCTTTATATTGTAAGGTGGAGACCCTACCTTAGTACAGAGAACAGCCCTACAATCAAACAACCCCCTCTGAGCAAGCATTTAGCAACAGTTGGAAGGAAAAATCTCCCTTTTAATAAGAAGAAACCTCCGGCAGAACCAGGCTCAGGGAAGGGCAGCCATCTACCTGATCCATAATAAAGCCTGATCACTACTGCATTGTTAAAATTGATACCAATACCAATATTTGGTGATTTAAAAATATATAGACATATTAGCTGATCTTTTCTTTCCTTATCAGATACACAAATTGGTTTCACTAAAATGTTATAGCTTTTCATGAATCTTACTAAGATCATGTGACAATGCTGTTGCGTCTGTGATATTTCAAGCATGTGATGCAACATCAGGAAAATCACTGTTTCATGCCGATAACCAGGTTAAAGGGTGTTTCTCCCATATCTTCTTTAGTTTTTTCCTTTTTAATTTATGTGTCGCTAGAAATGCTGATGCCAACATACTGGGAAGTAGCTAATATTAGCCAATATATTGGTTGGGTTCTACTGATGGGCACAACAGCATTTTATTGTACATACTCTCCTGACTATGTTGGGATTATGCTTGTCTTTTTGTTCACATTTTAAGAGAGTGTGTCTTGAAATTTTCTACCTCATTTATTTTTCTGTTTTTATTTATTTCTTTTTATAAATCTGCCCTCAGACTAAAGTGTACCACCAACACACGGGTGTTTAGGGCAGTCTTTGTCTGCACTAAACCAAACACTGTGTGATGGCTAATGTTCCTTGCTGACACTGGAAATCTTTGTGTTCATCTTTTTGACAGTCTGCTGCTCGTAACTTTACAACAAGTAACTCTGGAAGTGCACTTCACCTGCTCTGAACTCAAACTCTGAAATCCACTGAAGACGATAAACTTTTACATCCTTTTCACCACTTTGTCCACCTTTGTTTAAACCATCTTTTACTCCCATTCACCTTACAGGAATTGCTTTTTTTATGTCTCCTTTTTACCGTATCCCCTTTTTGTTAACCTCCATGTCCTTCCAGCCTCCACATCTTACTTCTGCTCTTCCTTTCATCATCCATCGAGACCCCCTCACCACACCCTTAAATCCCTTTCCTATACAGTACCCCCCTCTCTTAGAAACTGGATGACTCCTTTACCCTTTATCAAACTTACATATTGAAGTGACAGTGCCCAGCCAGAGAGTGAAAGAAGAAGAAAAGTAAGGCAAAGTGCTTCAGGAGACTAAAGGGGAACTACCCCTGAAGCACACCTCCGGTCTTGTTTGAAGCATGGGCTTCACTTGCTGCTGTACTTTCTTTCCTCAACTGTCTTTCTACATCAAGGAAAACTCTGGAAAAGGAAGGAGACGCCTGGCCTTTTGAGGCACCTCGCTGGAGAACCAATTTCCTTGCAGTAGTCAGCGGGGTTCAGTGTTAAACCGGGACAAATAAGCATGGCTAAAACAAAAGAATAAAAATGCTGCTGGCTAAGCAGGCCGGGAGATCTTAAAATTGTGTTTTGGTATTGTAATATTGAATTGCGCCGTTACATCACTTACTGCCTTGGGATGATTTCATTTGCAGTGCTACTGTAAACACTTTGTTCTTAAATGCCCTCCCACAACACTGTTAAAGAATAAAAATTTGGCCTTGATGAATACAGTATGAAGAAAATGCAGCTAATGAAACAGATGACTAATGCAGGGCAGGTTTTAAAAGCAGCATCCTTTGAATGATTTCCTTTTTATCTGCATGTAGTGACTATTTACATAGCACTCGGAGCAAATTACTAAACAAGGGGACTCAGCATATAGAAAACATACTTTAACCTTTTATCCATAATTAATGGGGTGATGAGTAATGACGATACTTAACCCTACAAAAGCATAAAATGACACAGCTGTAAAACTTTATGGTTATGGTAATGAGAGATAATAGACTATAAAGGCTTAGAGTAACTGTTCCGACACGTCACATATGTACCATGCAGCATAAATAGGGGTTTAATTTCGGTATCAAGTTACAACTTCCAATCGCACACCTTTAAAATATAAATATTAAATCTGCACAATTTAGTGCCAGAAAGGCTTTTGTCATGTATACAATTATCTCCTTTTATGAACGACTCTTACGTGACATACATTAACGGCAAGTTCTTTCAAACTAGCTGAACATATCGGAAAACTTAATAAAGATTTCCTCTGCAAATTTTATTTTCCGTCACAAATATGCAATAGCCTGAAGAGAAAAGGTCCAAAGGGCCCCTGCAGTTTCATATGCAGATAAACACGACAGGCTTGAGGGCAGCCAATTTATTGTGCGTGTCATTTTCCACAGCCCTTGGTGCAGATGGGCGAATAAAACGTCGCAAGATAACTTTGACAGGAAAGAGAAAGAGGAAAGAGATATGACGCACTTGGAGATTAAAAGGTACGGCGATAATAAGATGTCCTTTGTGCTGTGGGGCTTCATTTCATGTATGGCTAACTGTTTAAAATTTGTTATCGCATAAAGAAAACCACGCACAACATAGATGAAAGGAACTGGTGCCCACCATTAAAGATGAGGAGAAAAATAATATGAAAAAGAAGAAACAGAATAGAAATGAGACAGCAAGAATAAGTACACATGTAAGATCTTGAATTCATGCAGAGGACTAAATGGAAGAGAAGCTAAATACATTAAACAGGCAGGGAAATGAATCATTTTTATCAATCAGGGTTAATCCAACCAAATGTGTGTATTAAAGACAGCATGGGTCATCTTCTGGGAACAGCTTTAATCAAGTCTGCTCAGTGCCCATCAGCACTAATGCAGTTCCTAAGATTTTCTAATAATCTTTGATTGAATAAAATCATTTCAAAAGTATACCATGTAAACATCGGTCTGAGTTTCCATTATGGGCATTTAGCTAGCGAGAAAAGCAAGACCAAAACAACAAACATACGGTCCTGTGTACAGATGGCTTCTTTTGATGGGGTCATTTACATGTATCCTGGTGCAGGCAGTGGACAGAACAATGCAATTTAAAAAGCCATCAGTGGATCGCAAGACAATCGGACACAAAATTACAAAATTAATTAATGCATCAACAAGTCAGCCACGCATAATTAAACGGAATCTGGCTGTCTTGACAGAAATATATTGTGTTTGTTCTACTGGAAATGAAGAGGAACTGTTTAGCGAGTAAATGTCTGCCTGGAATAAAGATGGACTGAAACACAGTTTGATTGCAAAAAGAGCATTATCTGTGTAAAGGGTAAGCCTTCTCGCTACCACCCATGATCTGGAAGGATGCACAAATCATTGGTGGCTGCTAGAGATACAGTCTCTGTGTTTTTATTACTAGCACCAACTGTCAACACCGTCGGGGAACTGAAATAAATGACTGGACCTGCTATCACGCAGTCCCTATTTCATCCCATCTGCATCTGCTGTTCTCACTGAAAATAATATAAAAGGTCTACAAAAGGTAGGACACGTGAGATTAATCTCTGAATTTTATTCTCTATAAAATGTCAAACAATAGCGATATTTGTGGGATAGCTGTGGGATATTTTTCACATGTATTTTTACTTTTATTATCTGAGACGCCAAAAGATTTGTGATATTTGCAAAGAAAACCACCACATCCTTACATGTTAGCAGAAAGAACCAGCAAAATTCTCTGTTTTTCTCCCCTTGGTCACTTTTCTGTATATAGTTTAGTTTCATATATTGGGATTAATCAGTCAATGAAGCAACTGCAGCAGCACTTTATTTATTTTCGATTCTTCCCTGTGTTGCTGCTGTTCAGGTTAGTTTATTCTTCGTTTACCGCTTCTTCTTTTTTTCTAACTGTGAACATATACTGCAGTTTTCACAACATGATCTTGCCACATACTTAAAGTAAAAGAGGACAACAAAAAGGCGGGTTTTGTACTTGAAGCACAAAAGAAATTATAAAGTGTAGCACTAAAAACCTGGAGTTTAAACCTCACTTTATCTTGAAACAGTAGCCAGTTTCTAATGAAGATTACTACCAAGTGGAGAGCAGAGAGGGAGTCCATTTCAAACTTGGCAGAACACCAGAAGGGGGGAGGCGAGGCTAAAGGGGGCACATGTTTCACGCCAACACTGGTGTTCTGAAAGATGGTGGGCTGGGGCTGGAACACGCCCAGCTACCTCTGTGCCCTCTCAAGGTTGGCTGCTGAGAGGAGTGGAAAGAGCCTAAACCTTTGCCCCCTGCATCATCCGGTGTCCTAATGTGACGCTGACTATCTGCACTGGCTGCAATCTAAATGAAAATAATTCTTCTCTGTTACTGAAAGACATGGCGAGGAATTTTATCGTAGAAGAAACTAATACCCACCAAGACCCAGATGTGACTCAATTAGATGACACAAAATTAAATGACCTTCACGGCAGAAAGGTAAAAGATACCCACCGGCAAGGAGGAATGTGATGAGGCAGGTTTCTTTTGGCATGTACAGCTTTAAGCGCGAGCCGCTGAAGACGTATTCTACCACAGCCTCTGACCGGCCAGCCCTCTGCAGGAAGGGCAGGAACTGCTTGGCTTTCTGTGTCTCCTGAACAGCAAAGAAAGAAAGAGAAATGGCATCGTCAATTTAAGTCACAGCTGGACTTTTTGAGAAGGAATAAAAAAAATTAAAAAAAACATTTCAAATTTGAAATAGCTATGTAGACAAGGCACAGAGTAAATAGGTTAATAGACAACATAATGTGTGTGCTTAATTCAGATATTTTTACACGTCGATCAGATCCACCCAATTAAAATAAATAAATAAATTTTAAAAAAAACTCTCTTTTCCCGTTTCAGTCTCTGTTCTCAAGGGTGAGTCACTAGCTTAGTGGTGCGCTTGGGCCAAAATTACAAGCAGAGCCAAATCATGTGTATTCAAGCCGGGTCAGTGATGTAGCGGCGGTGGAAGATTTGTAAACGATAAAAAAAAATATTTAATATGCGTCTACTCCAGGCATGAGCATGTAGGCACAACAGACCAATGAGTCACTGCCCAGTGTGTGGCAGTGTGGACATGGGAGTAGGCACAAAGTCTCAGAGGAAAGGACGGAGCTAAAACGAGTAAAGTCAGAGCGAAAACATGTGTTCTCCCACTGTTATTGCGAGTTTATGCGAGGGTCAGAGCGGTTCAAAACCACAAATATCAATAATTCCGTTCCTTTTTTAGAGAATGCTACACTAGACATAAAGCGGCAACAGAAAAGACGGACGAGAAGAACCATGCAACGCGCGTCACCGGGGTTTTTGAGTATTTGAGTAAAGGGTATGTGCTTCAGTCATAAGATGCACCACCTGAACTGCACCCACTGCAATCCAAAATAACCCCCTCGGTGGGAGACGTCAGAACTGAACGCTCGCTCGTACACACATTTACAGCACCTGCAGTGTGTGGGCTGTGCAGTCTAACTTGGTTCCGAAAAAGAAAGAAAGAAATGAAGAGACATGGGAAAGGAGAGGACCTCATTATGCAACCTTTAAAGGCATGAGGTGAGTCAAGTGCTGTATCTACTCTCCTCCCACTACCTCTGTACATCTCCTACACAATACATTTATAAACCCATCCTTGCTCTATTTGTGACTGCATCCCACTCAATGTACATAATCCCTTTCGGTAAACCTGTACCACCAAAGGATGCTGACGTATAGAAGCGTGCAAGAAGTGTGTGAGTGCGAGAGGGTGCCCGTGTATGTCCGCAGTTGCATGTAGGCGTATACCAAATTAAAAAGAAAAAAAAGACAAGAGTGAAGAAAGTGGATGGATGCTGAGGTGTGGAGTTGCAATGTTGCTATTTTGGTCCTTTTATTAGAATGCTCATTACATTAGCCTAGCCAAACAACTGGTGCATGCGCACGCCCACTGGCATTAATCCTAGCTGGTGCTGCAAATCATGCATCTCTTATTAGAAAGTGACAGAAATGCTATAGAGGGGCTCTGCACAGCACTCATGTGCATGTCACACATAAACACATGATGGAGCACAATCGCGCTGAAATGCAAGGACGGCTACGCCCTTTGTGGGCTTAATGGGACAGAATTTAATGAGTGTGATGTGCAATTCTCTGTGTGGCCTATAATAATTTTCTTACTACTGTTATAGTTAATTATTGAGCACCTCCCCGTGCAACCACTTCTAAGTCATTGCCACATATTAAATGTGGTCAGTTTAGCCAGTTAAGTTGGGTGGAGGTTTATAAGCAGGAATTGCATTAAACCTCCCAGATGAAATATAAGAGCTGCTCAGTCAGCACAACAATTCCCTGTCATAATTACTTTTACAGGGACTGCCGGTAATTTATTTGTGCTGCTGACACAATGAGACAGGGAGCCTACAATGATGACAACGTAGAAGAGCAAAACATCTGAGAGCACTTATACACAGCCACATCTTAATGACTTATTAGCCAGACTCTGAAGTCCAGTTGGTGTTAAAGAGCTTTAATGATTCGTTCAAATGCATCATTAGAGCAGAGCTTATACCCTCGCTGGCCACTTGGTTAGGTATAGCTTTTTAACTACTGCTCGTTGCCACAAATATCTAAATCAGCCAATCACATGCAGGCAACTTAATTCATTTAGCTATGTAAACAAGGAGAAGGTGACTGAATGGGGATGAAAGTTGATGTAAGTCACGAGACGGGCTGGTGTGCGTAATTCAGGAACTTCTGAACTACTGGGATTTTACTGCACAACTACCTTTGGGGTTTAAAAAGCTTCCATGTGAAAGCAGTAATTTAAATAGCCAATGTTAATTTAAGATATGCAGAAGAGAATATCTGAAGAGACAATACAAGCAGTTGGGCTACAGCAGCAAACGACCACACTGGCAGCTGTGAACAGGTAATGCCGGGCTCACACTGTGCGATTTTGTCAGTCGCGCGATTCAGCTCCTGCTCAAACTGTACGATTGACTCGCAGGGGTTAGAAGTTCGTAGGTCACGATGTAAGGTCTCACACTATATGACCCGATGCTCTGATGCGACCCGAGTGCTCACACTGTGCGTCCATAAAATGAAGGTTATAACAGAAATTCTGTCGCTCGCTCTCCCTCTCTGTCTTTCACTCACAGACACGCACACCACCACCATCAACTTTGCTAAATTGCTAATGAAAAACATTGATCAGGCAGTTGTGATTGAGCAGCAATGTCCATCCAACTATTTTCACGGTTGTTGTGGTCGTGATCATTTTGTGAGGCCACATCGAAAAGGCTCGGATGAGCTTTCCAAAGTTCTACAAGTACCTCCATCGCTTGTGTCCAGATCACACGCTGCACTGCCGTGCTGCGCCGTCTTTTTCGCTGACATTTGTGTTTGCGCGTGCGCAGTGTGAGAAACTGCGGTGACACCCTCACGACCAAGCGATTGATGATCGGGAGCTGGTCGTGAGGTGTTAATTGCTTCTCGTTACCCCACATATACTACACGATGCACGACGCACGATGAAGGCCAAAATCGGGCCGATCACCAAAACGGTCGCACGACTCAAAAATCGGCTCAAAATGGGCCAAAAATCGCACAGTGTGAGCCCGGCATAACTGAAGCTACAATTTGCATTGGCTCACTAAACAGAAGATTTTTTTTTTTTTTTTGGGGGGGGGGGAGTTACTTGGCTTGGCAAGTCTTGATTGCCTATTGTGAGATCTATGAAAGCATAGATCCCTCCTACCCTGTATCAGTGGTTCAGGCTGCTATTCTATGAATAGAATTTTGGGCACACTTTGGTCCCTTTATCATCTTTTATGACTACAGTGTTCCCATCTCCTGATGGCTGCTCCCAGCAAGATAATGGATCAAGTGACAGGGCTCAAATCATCTAAAACTGGTTTCTTGAACATGATAATGACCTCCACAGCCACCAAGAGAGAACCTCCAGGATGTGGCGAACAAATCTGCCCCAACTGCGATATTCCATCATGTGAAAATGAACCAAAATTTCAGATAAATGCTTCTAGTATCTTGTTGACTCTGCGCCAAAGAGTGAAGGTAGTTCTGAAGATAAAGAAGTACAACCGGGCATTAGCAAGGTGCACTTGAAGTGTCCAATGAGTGTGTCTGGCCAAATCTATATAAACACAGTTGTCTCCAGATACAGAATAAACTGGGTAGCTGCATCACAGCCCATTATAACATAAATAGGCATTATTTTGGACTGTGAATCATGCAAAGCTACTCTAGAGTCCAAGAATAAAAATACAGAATCTATGAGTGAGAAAAAAAAGAAATACAGACTAATTAATTTAACAAAATGTCTCTCCGGAGCAAACAAGAGTACTACAATAGTGAGAGAGACAATGAGGTGTTAATGTTTCTGAAGTTCAGTTTCCACTTGTTAAGTGTCTTGTCAAAATCTATAAGAGACGGGGAGTCGACAAGCACAGTGTTAAGAATTTTGCTTCTATACACACAATGGGTTTCAAATGAGGCAATCAAAATGTGATTGCTTTCAGCTTTAATTAAAAGGGTTTAACAAAAAGAAGAATTAACCATTTCAATTACAGCCAGTCTGAATCCTGTACTTAAAAGCAATCGGACAAACACAATCATAAATGAAAGGATGATTGCCATGAACTCCACATAAATAAAACGACATATCCTTAATGATTAAAATACAAAAAAATCTATTTTTATATTAAAGTGAGCGCGACAGCGACAACAGGGTGAACAGAAGACAGAAAGACGTGATGATAAAAATTTGCAAAACTGTGCGAGGAAAAATGCATGATTTTTAAAAAGAAAAGAAAAACGGGGGGGGAAAGTGCACCAATCACCCATCACTTGATACTGAAATACTTTTCCTCACACTGATGTTCATTTGGTAAGCACTCTCAATCAGGCTTCATTAGCCAAACGATGCCTCTATCAAGCCCCTGGGCACACGTAAACAAGCTAGGACCAAGTCTCGCTGATGATTCTATTAATGGTGCTGCATATTTTTAGAGGACACTTATAGGGGTGAGTCAAGGATTAGAGAGCGTCTTCTGAGAATCACTGGCCTGATGTATCTTCAGGTTGTATGCAAATGAGTCTGCATGACTGCATGTTAATCAGCGTACATACATTTTTATTCCTCTTTACACAGAATCTGCCAATCTGCATCCATTTATACACAAAAACATACTCACCCCAGAGATGTCAGCCACTCTGTGGATGGGAACCTCCTTCTTGCTGTGCAGCCCTTTCCCATTTTTGATAGCCCTGCAGTAAAAGGGTTAAACTATAAACACATGTCTCTCAAGCATAGCTCAATGGCTTTATTAGATGGAAAAAGCATAAGACTGGAGGTTTATTAGACCTGGAGAAACAGAAGCTCTTTCTTTGTCATCACTGTAGATACATGGAGAGCTACTGTGGATTTGTACAAGTAGAATATAAATTCATTCAGTTTTCTTTCCCTGAACTGCCATTACAGCACAACTGAAAGCACTAGTGGGAGGATTTTTTTCCTCCTCTCAGCCAGATAATCTATATGTTTGAGATGAAAAGTCAAAATGATGGCAGAAGAATAATAATGGAAGAAAAATTACAGTTTTTACCAGCGAAAATGAGGAGAAATTGAGAGATGCTTTTATAGAGAGTCAGCTAGCAGTTTTTAGTGATGGTTACCGCAGCTCCAGGGACAAATAAGATGAAGATGGCCTGCGGCTGCAACTGCAAAGTGGGGGCGAACATGCCACAACTGTGTCACTGGGATGCAAAAGCACTGCCTTTAAGGATTGACTGTGTACGTTCGTATGAGCATGTATACATGTGCATTTAACAGCCAGGAGGAGGTTTCTTTGAAGGCTCTGGGCCACTAGCCTTGTGCAGTGGAAACTAAAAATAAAGTCAAGGCCACAGAAAGAAACCTCTAATAGGACCCCACCAGGGACAGAGAGAAAGGGAGAGAAGAAGAAAAAGAGAAGGGGTAGAGAGAAAAGGAAATGGGAAAAGAGGAGAGCTAGACCAAAGAAGGACAAAACTAGCTAAGGTGCAGAAATAAGGACAAAATGTGCAAAGGAAGAAGGAAAGCGGGAATCAGGTGAGAAAGGAGAAAAACAGGGCAACTGGGCAGTGACACACGAAAGAAAGAGAGGAGAAAGAGTTAAACCAAGAGGCTGTGGCTGCATCTGCTCTACCTATAGCAAGCAGATCCTAATCTATGGCAGAGTAATAAAGCCTGTACTAAATCTCTCCTCAGCATCTCTATATAATTATTCTTAGGCCCTGTGTAAAGAGCCTCTGATTTAATGTCTAGCACATAGGAAGACGTGTGTGTATGTCCCTTGGCATGTAAAATAAAAAAGGAAAGGGCAAAAATGTATGCATGATTCAATATGTGAGGGTAATGACATGTTTCTGCAGGAAAAAGCAGCAATAGCTGTGACACGCTGGAACTTATGACGGCGGTGACGCTAAAATACACTCTGAAAAATTGAATTACTTCACCTTTGCAGTGCAGCATTTAACAGCAAATTCAAAAGAAAACTGAAGAAGGAAAAAAGCCTCAAGGTCATTTTTTTTTTTTAAAGTCTCCTACATTTCACAAAAGCAAAATCTCTCAAGGTCAAAAGAGAGAGTGCACACATGTGCGTCACAAGCATGTTTCGTTTGAAGCAAAAATGTGTATTTCTGAGAATTAATCATTTCAAAGCCCCCCTTCATGCCACGTGCACAGCAGCGTTAAGTTCAAGTAAAAGGTAGACGGAGAGTGCTTTGTGTGAGGGAGCGTGTGTTCCTCACCGTGCCTCTGCGGCAAGCAGTTCGTCATAGTGGGAGGAGCGCTGGTCATCATCCTGTCTGTATCTGATGACTGTGGCAAGGCCTTTACTTACGAGAGCCTCTGCTATGTTGCTGGGGAATAGAACAGAGAAAGAAAAATTACTTTAATTAAAAACAAAAAACAAGCAAAACCCCTCATCTTCACAAAGGAGCTCTAAAGGGAGCTAGCTCAAAGGGGGGGAAAAATGCATACTACAAATCCCAGAAGGTGGGTTTGCTTACGAACAAAGGTCACTTAAATGTTGACACTGCACACTTGACTAACCCCTTCTACCGTGTGATACTGATGTAGGGAAGAGAGGATTGAAGGCAGAAAGACGGGGACATTGTGCTGCTTAATGTAGCACTTAGTTACTAGCCCTTGGACATCAGTGTTCTAGCTAAACCATGGGAGAAAGAAATGAAGGGACAGAAAGAAACTCTTCAGAGTATTTGTCAACATGGTGCAGGCATGGGGACTGACACAATCATTCAGCCCTTGTTGATGCCAGTTAAACGGTTCCTTTTCTATATTTTAAAGCTCTTCTGTTGGAAATAATGCAGCTAAATGGGCGATAACCTGGAAGCAATCATCTTTATCTTTAAACTATGTATGAAAAGGTTTTAGGCATTTGATTCCCATTTTATTTACTGCAAGCAATAGCGACACCAGAAACAAAGCCACAGAAAAACATTTTCATGGACAAAGGGAACAAAAGCTCCCTCAACAGACGGTCTTATAATCGAATTGATATTGGATGACGTGAAAAGATGGAAGCACTTTAGACAATCTTAACTCGCACAAGACTCCAAAAGTTCTCGAAGACTGTTAGATCTTAAGTGTACTGTGCGTGAGTGTCTCGTGGAGTGATTTCTAACAAATAGCCACCCGCTAAGTTTCCAGCAAAACACAATTCTTCGTTAAGAAGCTACAGAGTCTCGAGTCCATTACCACAAGAATAGCTCATACAAGGTCAAAATCCTCTGCCCCGCTGACCAAATCAGGCCCTGACCTCAGGCCTCATGGGGAGCCTCACCAACTGTTCCATCTCAAGCAGAGTTGCTGGTTCTGGTTTGACAAGGCCAGATCCTGACCTCTGTACGGACATGTACTACCAAACACAGGACAGCTGGTTTGATGAAAAGAAGGCATCTACGTCTCCATGTGCGCATGTGATGACGCTTTATGTGTTGAGTGATATAAACAGAGGGAACCAGAAGATAAGTGTGGCTTTTAACCTTTTTTTTTTTTTTTTGGAGTGAGAACAGGCTTCTGACGTTTCATTTCAAGCACTGCGGCATTAAAGCGCCCCTTTAGTGGTTCTGATTAAATTTGAAGCTCTGAACAGTTGTAGTAGTAGGTATGTGTCCTTATATCTTTGGTACTGTGTAAAATACATGTTTCAGACGGATGACGCAAATTCCTTCAAAGCAGAGTTTGTAGATAGAAAATAATTGCTTGCACTGAGGTGACCTTTTTCTTCTTTTTTTAATATGAACTTAAAAGACGTAGAAACACTTTCAGGTTACTTTATGATTGATGGTGAAATTACGAGTAATATGGATTTAAAAATGAATATTTTGTGTCATTTTACAACAAATTAACCTGACTTTTAAAGGGTTTAATAGGGAAGCAGCTGTACTAACAAAATGGAAATGTGTTAGTGAAATCATTTACACTGATAAATTACGTGCTGTGTGATCTCCCAAAAAGGTTGGCTCAGTGGTCTCCTACTGCACACTAAAGACAACTGAACAAACCTAAAGTATTTTGATTTCCAATGCAGTTTTCTATACTTCAATGTTTTACTTAGCCTTTCTTATTTCATATTGCTGGATTATCTCCAGCCATTCTCCATCAGTACCAACTCGGATTGATTCGGCGTGACTCGATGCGGCACGGCTCGCCTCAACTCATTTTCCATTGCAATTGAGTACCTCCTAATGTGTGTGGGTTTGTTATAGTAACGCAGCCGAGCGTGTCCTGTGACATAATTAGTACACAACGCGAACGCCACATCAAAAAGGTGGACGTCGAGGCATCAATATACCTCTCATACTGTGGCTTTTCGGGAGACTCTGAGACCACAGTGTTGTTTCTGTGTATCCATTTCCATGTGAAGCCATGATTCATCGAGTGATGACACTGACTAGCCAATCGGTGGCGTACTCTGGTGTTCGCCTCAGATCGCTTGGAACCCCAGGGGAGAAGGTACCTGGTACCAGGTACTATCACCTAATGGAAAACCCTGAAAACCGTGGCGAGCCGACCCGAGTAGGTATTAATGGAAAAGGGGATTACAACGGTAGAAAAGAATATAAAGCAGGCGACTCAGTGTGGTGCATGGCTTACATGCCGCCAATTGTGACTGTAGCACAGGTACGCTCTGGGAAGGCAGGCGTGCCTTCTCCTGGACCAGTAGCTGCTCTGATGTAGTCCACTGTCACGTTGACCTGAAAGGGGGAACATAAGGCAGAGGTCAAAAAAATATACCAAGAGTAGAGAGACAAAGTGATGGCAACAACGGTTATGGTAATAATTAGTGTGAGAAGTGTGTTCTGGCCTATGTATGTGTATCGGGGTCTTTTCATTTGTCCCAGTTCTCAAGGTCACCCCCAGTCAGTGCGAATCACATCAGCCAGCACTGCAGATCTCCCCAGAGGAGGAGTATTAACA